TTTTTTTAAGATTTTATTTATGTATTTGACAGAGAGAGATAGCGAGAGAGGAAACACAAGCAGGGGGAGTGGGAGAGGGAGAAGCAAGCTTCCTGCGGAGCAGGGAGCCCAATGCGGGGCTCCATCCCAGGACCTTGGGACCATGACCTGAGCCAAAGGCAGATGCTTAACGACTGAGCCACCCAGGCGCCCCTACACATAATTTTTTAAAGTACATGGAACACCTCCAAGACAAATCATATGCTGGATAATAAAGCAAATCACAATAAAAGAACTGAAATGACAGAAAGTATGCTAATATCAAGAGATTAACTAAAACTCAGTAACAAAAATATACTGGGGGAGGGGTGCCTGGGTGGCTCGGTCATTAGGCATCTGCCTTAGGCTCAGGTCGTGATCCCGGGGGTCCTGGGATCGAGCCCCACATCAGGCTCCCTGCTCAGTGGGAAGCCTGCTTCTCCTCTCCCACTCCCCCTGTTGGTGTTCCCTCTCCCTCCCTCACTGTGTCTCTCTCTGTCAAATAAATAAATAAAATCTTTATATATATATATACTAGGGAAAAAAAATCTCCAAATATGTGAAAATTAGACAATATACTTCTAAATAATTGATGATTCAAAAAAAAATCACAGAATTCTAAAAATATGTTTAATCAATAAAAACAAAGTATCAAAATCTGTGGGCTATAGATAAAGAAGTACTTAAAAGGAAGTATCTTTAAATGTTATAAGGAACAAAAGATTAAAAACAATAATATGAATTTCCATCTAAAGAAGATTAAAGGGCAAATTAAAGAGGAAGGCAGGCAATCATAACGTAAAAAAATCAATTAATTAATTAAAAAAGAAATAAATTCTATGGGGCACCTGGGTGGCTCAGTCGTTAAGCGTCTGCCTTCAGCTCAGGTCATGATCCCAGGATTCTGGGATCGAGCCCCGCATCGGGCTCCCTGCTCAGCGGGAACCCTGCTTCTCCCTCTCCCACTCCCCCTGCTTGTGTTCCTGCTCTTGCTATCTCTGTCTCTGTCAAATAAATAAATAAAATCTTTAAAAAAATAAAGAAAAAAGAAAAAAGAAATAAATTCTAAAAACCAACAGATACAGAAATCAGTACTTTGAAAACATTAAGAACTTCAGGTTTCTGGTCCAGCATTTAAAAAGCCTGGAAGTCACTACACCATCCTAACAAGTAAAAAGCTCAACAAACTAAAAAATCAACAAGCCTTCTTAGATCTTTAAGAAAGATGAGGTCACAGGGCAAACTGCTGCTCCCAAAACTGGAGAGACAGACAGGGAAAGAAAAGCCATTCACAACTCATATGGAGCAGCAACCTCTGAGGGAACCAGTCTGGAGTAGGTAAACCTCAACTTCAAATGACAATTGCAGAAGACTCAGTGTGAACAACTCAGAGTTAAAAACTCCAGGCAGACCCGGTCATCAGGATGCCTCCACTTTCACCCCCAGGATCTCTACCACGTTCTCACAGTATAAATATAAGAGAAAAATCCTCTCAAGCTTCCAAAAGGGAAAGGGGGAAAGGAAGCATTTTACGCTAGAGTATTCTGTTCTTAACAAGATCTGCCCTCAGGGAAACTATTATTTTTTTAAGTTTTTATTTATTTATTTGACACAGAGAGAGAGAGATGGCGCATGTACCGAGATGGCGCAGGGTGAGTGGGAAAGGGAGAATATATACTAAAAGACAAAAAACACAGTTAGAGGAAGAGACAAAGCAAGAATCAGAATCAGACTCAGACATGGCATGGATAGATGCTCAACTGTCAAGACCAGAAATTTTTTTTTTTTTTAAGATTTTATTTATTTATTTGACAGAGAGAGAGATAGCGAGAGCAGGAACACAAGCAGGGGGAGTGGGAGAGGGAGAAGC